GCCAAACAAATTATTAAAATAATCTGATTTAAGACAACTAATATATATTTATTTCGTATTTATATATCTAGATAGACACATGTGTAAAATCCTATTTGCATCAAGATCTACCCACTTTAAATTGAAAGCGCAAAAAAACATAATCCAGTTGAATTGATGCACTCTCATATTGTATCATATATAAATGCTATTCAGACGTTCAGAATTTCTTTTCTTTCATATTTGAAATATATCGAATAAATAACTATTTGTATGACGTGTTCCAAAAAACTGTTAGGAACAAAATATAATTAAAATCATAATATAAATATATAAATATAATTAAAATCATAATATATTATAGGTATGTATATTATACTTATACATTCTATGGCAGTGCATTGTGGAGTCTATGCAGAGACTACGGTTTCGCGAAAAGATCGAACGGTCGATTTGCAAGGATTCAAGAAATCGATTAAAACTGTTTTACATTTACATTCTACATCTAAATGCAGTACTAAAAAAAAATCTTTGTTTTTATTTTTATTTTTTCTTCACTGTGTTAAAAATTAAGATATTTCATTTTTAACTTTTTTATTTAAAAACGTTTCAATTTTAAATTTGGACAAAATGACAATTAATCAATGAAAAAATTTTGTTTAGATTTTAACGTACATGGGCGCTGGTGATAATTTAGTTTAAAATTTAACAATTTTTAAAGGGTAAATAATCGAAGAAGCAACTTTGTTTTATAAATTTGAGTATAACACGTTTAAATATTGATATTTGAATACTATTGGATATATTAACTTTTTTATGCAAATTATGTTTATGTGGCCAGGATCAGTTTTGAATTAGCAGTAGCAGTATTCATAAATGTTGTTTAGTACATTTTGTCATTTTTACACAAATATTGTTGTATCTTTTATTATTATTTAATTAAGTATAGCATAACACATAGACGTTTAATATACAGGGTGTTTCACGTACGTAGTCCGTTAGAAGTTTCTAGGGAATCGCGAAAGACATCGATTTAAAATTTTAATTAAGTAAATTATTCGCTTTAGACTTTTTTCCTAAATTATTTTGAAAAAAATAATACTTTCTGTTTAACCGGAAATGTTATTTTAAACAGGACACTTATTTATACATTTTTTAATTAACATACAATTCTGAGTAAAATGGCTATACCATATCCTATACCTAAAGTCAATATTTTTTGAATTATTAATTTTTAAATCACATATTTTAATTAATTTTAAACAATGACAGATTTGGTGGTAACCATGGATATTGTCACATTAAACCACATGTAGAATTTCACAGGTTTTTTGATATAAAATAGTATTGAAAATATTAGAAATTGTTAAATGTCTCTGAAATTTTAACTTTGGGAAATCGAAAGATTCTTTAATGTTCTATTTGATTATTTTAAAACATACAGGGTTTTACATTTATAATAAAAACGTTATTATTGTTTGAAGTTTGCCTTACTTCAAGTGGTTTTTCTTAAGGTATTTGTTGAAAAACCTTTAAAAAATTACATTATTTAAACAATGTTTTAATATTCCAAAAATTCCAACCCCATGTCAGCAAACAAAATAACAAAAAAAACTGGAGACTATTTTTATTTAACGTGCATTTAGCAAAATTTTAACGAAAAAAATGAATATCTTGAAAACTATTGACTTTAGGTATAGCCTAAATCAAATTGTATATGCTATTAAAATTATAAATCCATATCGTTTGCGTTTTTCCAAAAACGCCCTGTATAGCATTATATTAAATATAAAAAAATGCAAAATAACTAATTACAAAAAATCTAAAAACAACTGAATAAGAAATATAGATATATCTAAATAGCCGATTGCAACAAAAAAAATAAGTCTTTATACTAATTTATTTATTGGGCAAATATTACTTTCCTCAGTTTGGAATTAAAATTGAAGCTTGCTTATCGAGTAAAAAATAAATTGAAGCTTGGTTGTGGAGCAAAAAATAAAATTAAAGTAGGTTATAATAAATAATAATTATGTTTTGAGTTTATAGTACACTTATAAATTGAAACGCAATCAGTCATTTGCAACTTATAAACTGTCAAATTATAATTATCTTTCATGCTTTCCATGGTAGGTTACCATAGACTAAAGTCTATGATGCCTACTATGAAAATTAGTAAACTTGGTATTATTATTAATAAAACATAAATACAAAATATAAAATATTAATGTTGGTGTTCTCAATTTCGAGTTTATTTTTTCCAAATATACCTAAGAGCATTCAAACAGGACTGAGAGTGATTTAATGATTTAGTTATATTGAATGTATAAATACATAACAACAATGGTCCCAAGGCACCCCGCCTGAGGAACACTACATGAAATAAGAGCACTGTCTGATTTTCCTTTATTGGTTGCGACAAACTGCATCCTATTTCTAAAAAAACCTGACTAGGATGGATTGTCACATTTTAAATAGAAAAAAGAATTTCGTGATTGATGGTATCAAAAGCCTTAAAGAAGTCTAATAATATTAAACTGATGTTTTTTCATTATCTAAATCTTTTAGAATATCAAATGTTAAAACTAAAAGTGATGTGGTACAACTATAACCTTTTCTAAATCCAGATTGAAATGATTATTTCGAAAACTTTGGATAACACAGTCAAGATAGAAATAGGAGGCAACTCATTGAAGCTAGTAATATTTGTCTTTTTGGGCAGTGGCAGGATTTTAAAACTTTCCATTTCTCTGGAAAAACAGAATAAACAGGAATTTATTATATTGGTGAAATAAGGTAAAATTCGGGACAACAAAACCTTAACATAATATATATATATATATATATTATATATATTATCTACACTTATTCTCTCAGAACCTATTATTGCCTTGGTGTTAATTTCATTAAAACATTTAAATATTATAGCTTCTGGTAGGTACCAATAAAAAATTAAATTTATAACTTATGTTTTTTCTCAAATTTGACTTAAAAAAGTAAGCAGCTCTGGATCAGGTTCAGAGTTACCTGAAGGTTCTAAAAAATACCTGTTTATCATTCATGGTCATTAAGAACTTCTGGCAAAACATGAATATCAAGTTCATTAAATTTTTTTCATAATAATTTATCCTGATTTTGAAAGTTTGTGGTAAAATTTTTAATATTTTTATAAATTTCCAATGAGTTATATTTTTAGATATTTTAACCAGTAACTTGTGACGTGAAAAAGTTTAACACTAACGGTGTCGTAGGAGTATCTCAGACTCCTTTGATTATAATTATATATTATTGTCATAATAAATGAATTTAATTCAATTAATATAAGCTTATGATGTTAAGTAAATATTCATTATGGTTTAAACAAACAAACATAAAAACATTGACGAAAAATTAATTAATAGGAAAGTTATTGCACATTTTACGAACATTAGTAAATTCTACACGAAGAAAAACACTTCATCATAAAAAAATTACTACCATCTTTCCAGCAGGTAAAATCAAAAGAAATAAAAAAAAATAAACATTACAAAAATATTCCGATGGAGAAAAAAAACTGCCAAGGGTCATTTATCTCGTCTCTCGCACAACAGTAGTAACGTAACGTTATTTTGGAATGTTTTTCCCACTGTCTAAAAGTGTTTCATTTTCAGCACCTGAAACCCACCCAACGAAATTCTTATCGGCTTCCGAAACATCTTCCAAATCGGAGAAGTGATCAGTGTCAATTTCATCAAACTACTTCAGTAATACAACTTTATATCCTTTCCGCCAAACTGCGACAGACTGCTTCAACTTTAAACACAGTTATATTTACATACACAATTCGGAAACAACTGATACTGGTAGAAAGTGTTAATAACATCGACGATTGAAGGTATTTGGAGGATGGTACAGATTTAACGCGAACTTTTAAATATACACTAAATGCAAAGTGCTGAGGAGTCTGGTAGACTTCGGGTCACCGATTATAACTGTTATAACGGTTAAAAGATAATATTAAAAACTAATAAAACTGAAAGACAATGCACTAGGTAAATTTAACCCGTATACGGGTTATAATAATGTTTTAAGTTGGTGCTAGTGTATTAAAAATATTTAATAATAATTCAATAAACATTCTTACTTTTTCATTAAGTACCCAATGTTTTGCATATAAAAAATAAAGTCAAAAGGTGTTATCATTTAAAAATTATTTAAAAGATCCTCTTCCAATCAATTTAAATTTCTTATGTTACATTTAATTGTCTTTAAAAGATTAATCATAAAACTTAATTCGCAGAATGTTAAAAAAATGATCAGATTTTGTAAGGGCAAGATGGACGAATACCTTAAGTACTGAAAATGAAGCCGATCAGCTTGGAGATTAGCAAAAATTTGCTAGTGTAGGAAGAAATATAAAGTGTAAACCACGGCGGTTAAATGATTTTCAAGAAGTGTCCAGGCTCTTTAAAACTCGCCTGTATTTCTTCTTTTAGCCTGAAAAATGTTACTTTATCGTGTAAACTATTCTATTGCATAACGTTCCTTATTCATATGGCTAAAAATTTAAAGATATATTCTTTAATACGTTACATTAAAAACAACTTTTCAGCAATGGGAATAAAGGCAATTTTTTTGGTTTAAGGCAACTAAAATTTCGTTTAATGTAAAAATGGTCTCTATAGGAATGATTACATGCCTGTTAATATTGACTAAAAAGGTTTAGATTTATCTCCAAGGTACATAAACTGTATATACTGTATATTATAATATTTAAAAATTTGAGACGTTGGCATGGCGAGCGGTATTCTAATACATACAATTCTCTTAACGTTATAAATCAGTGTAAAATGATATGGAGGTTAATACAAAGTTGCAGACAAATTTAAGCGGATCTAGGATAAACTTAAAAAAATAACCTTTTTAAGACAATTCGACAAATTAAGGACAAAAAATTCCTTAAACTACATAATATACAATAACAATGTTTTTGACAGTACTAATTTTTTAAAAGTTTTTTAAAACCTTTTACTTTGTTTCAGAAACTGTGGTATCAGCACGTATGGCCTTCGTTGCAGCAGGAAATGCGAACGCAGGAGGTGCTGGCCGCCGTCCTGCAGCCAGTCTTATACTTAATTCAGGAGTCGACAATCGAGGAGTATGAGTCCATTATCCTTCCGTCCTTTAGGTAAGCCTTTTCTTAAGCGCTAAATTAAAACAACCACAGTATTAAAGTATACAGTAGTGAAATATTAAAAATTATAACAGTTGAATTTTTCAAAAAATTTTAATACTTTGTAGTGTTTTAAACAACATGTTTTAAGTAGTTTTTAACAACAGGTAATCAAGAAAAACTGTTCAATTTTAAAAAGGAAGGCGAAACAACTAAAATGGGGGGTTATGGCAAAATTACATTAAAGTAGTCAAAACTGAAACGACTTGCTAGTAAAAACTGAGAAGGCCCATTTTAAATAATGGGTGTTGCTCCACGTGCCTAAGTTAACTCATTTATTCTTCATGGGAAGCCGAAAATTAAATAGCGAATTCCCTCAGGAATTTATTTTTCCAAATACGTCCTAAAGATGTCCAATTGGGTTAGAATCTGTTCTCTCCATAACAGAAATATTTAGTTGAGTGATTCTTGCAGTGTAAGGTGTAGCGCTTTTATTCATTAAGTCATATACAATAAACTCAATATAAGAAACAACAAAATCTTGAATTTCATTAATCATTAATCATCGCAGTTAAGCAAGCAGCAGTTAAGGAGCCTCTTGGATGTTTAATTAAATGCGTACCTTCAAAGAAATCTTAGCCCCCACCATAACTGAGTCTCATTTGTAACCTTCGATAGGACTAGGAAAATATCCTGTAAGACGCTCTGGAAGTCTTTGTCATGCTCTCTTACGTCCATCTGAAATCAGCAGTATAAACCTGGACTCATCTGTAAAGAAAATGAATAGGTACCCATTTATTTTCACCCAGTTCTAATGATTTCTGGTAAATTTTAGTCACGAAACCCGATGACGCCTAACAAACTCTGGACCTATTACAAGTCTAAAAATGGTAAGATTGGCTTATTTTAGTCCTCGTCTAACTGTCTGTTGGTTTACGTTATTTTGAATGTCGATTTCTGATTTCTATAGCTATTGCACGAAGATTTTGCAAACTTTTTAAGAATATTGGTTCTTCGTTGGGGACCAGTTTTTCTGATAAAAGCTCCAATTTGTAATAATAAAAGTAAGATTGGATATGTAATAATGTTGGGTAATAATCTTGAAGCAACGCGACTATAGCAGGCACTGTTTTGGGATTAAGAGCCAAATTTTTTTAAATTAAATAAAGGCAGTACAACTTTTAAATGTTTTTCACACCTCTTTCGACTTGTGATATTTCTTACAATAGACATAAAACATAGTTTGTCATGGGTTTACTGCAACAACCCAGCTAGCACAAGTCGGTCTTCAGGACGTCCCAAGGAAAGCCATACAGGATCCTAGGACCTCCTTAGGACATCTCAAACGCGGTCAAGTGGTGCAAAAAAAGGCCAGCATACGGACGTCCTGTAAATGGCCTTTAATGTGCGCTCTAAACGTCCTTTAAACGTCCTCGGGTTATTTTTGCTATTGGGATTTGTAGATCCTAATGAAATCCTCTGCACTTAAACCTACTCGATTAACGCCATTATTCGTTACTGAGCAGATCAGCCCCTCTCTAATCTTTTTTTTTAAATTATTTATTTACCTAACATAAAGGGTGTCCCAAAAGTATCTTGTTACTCTGTAAAGTAACTAAGATACATTCAAGTAACTTAGATACTTAAAAGTAACTAAGATACTTTTTAAAGTAATTTAGATACTTTTCAGTGTAACTTAGATACTTTCTTAGAGAAAATTGGGGGAATTCCAGAATGATTCAAAGTAATTACCTAACTTACAACTTGTTGAATTTTCATAATTTTATAGTTTTTCTTCATACTTAAAAGTAACTTAGTTACTCAAAAGTATCTTAGTTACTTAAAAGTTTCTTAGTTACTCAAAAGTATCTTAGATACTTTCATCTAGTATCTTAGATACTTTTATATAGTAGTCGATCAGTGGCGTACTTTTTGGTAGGATAAAGGTTATTATAAATTATCTTTAGTCTGCAATTTAGAAAAAAAAAGTTTCAGGTGCTTCTTTATGGACCCTAAGGAATAACCCATTTTAATATATAACATTAATTACATAACACCCTATATATAATATCTAGGGCAAACTTCGTCCTTTCATAATTATAATTAATTTCTTTTCTTTTACCTCATATAAAATATACAATTAAAGTCTGATGGGAATTTATAAAAGTATCGAGTAAAGGATAATAAGTCGCCCTGTAGTAATGATTTTTTTAAGAAAAACATTTTTAAAATTTTTAATTGAAAAGCTACTCTTTGATTAACGACTAGTAGAGAAAAAATATTTAAAATCTGATTAAGTGTAGTTCACTGGAATTTCATTAGTGTACCAAATGGACATTTTTTTCAGAGGTGTATTTCAAGCGCCCAAAACAGTTCAAGCGACGGTTACGCTTTTAGAAAATTTGCATATTATATTAGAAAAAACCCCAAGAGATGATATAAGGACTGAAGTTTTACCAATGATGTACAACGCATTCGAAAGCACAACTATACAAGTACAGGTAAGTTTTGAAATATTTTAATTTTAATATTAATAAAACTTTTTATTAACTCATATACTGGAAATTTATTTAGCAATATTTGTCTTCGAAAGCCTTCATAGAAATTTTCTTAAAATAAATTGTTTGGCAAATCTAATGTTTTTCAGTTTGCAATGTAATGTTTTTAAAGTAAAACACTTTAAGCAAGGTGTAAGTCAGAAAATTTCACGGAAATCATGCATTGATTTTTATAAAAAAATATAAGACGTTTTGGTCACATGACAACTTTCTTTTAAGCTCAGTGTGTCATGGGACTTTAGGAAAGTTTTATCGTAAGTAATATCATAAGGGCATCTAATTTTTCCGAAAAAAATCGAAAAAACACGTTGCTAAGTAATAGGTATTTTAACAAAAAGCATGAGTGCTGGTGGCAACAAAAATCCGAGACGAAGACGAGAATTTTTGCACCTGCACGAATGCATTTTGTTAAAAAATATTACTTAGCATTGTGTTTTTTCGATTTTTTTTTCACAGGAAAAATTAGATGCCCGAACGGTATTTGACAAGACTATTTCATGAGTAACAGTTAACAATTAAAATATAAATTGCAATTTTTGGTGACAACAGCTGTCAAGTTTTGCCGCGGGTAAACTCGAAGAAACTGCTGACAGGTGCTGTCACACAGTTTTTCCACCTAGAAACCATTTGTAATTCAAAATTGCGCGTTTTTGATTGGTGAAAATTAAGACGAGGGAAATAGTCACAAAAAAATCACGAAAAAAACTGATGCTTTTTTAATTAAAAAAAAATTAATCAAATGAGCATTCACTTTATCTTCACACATTATCTGAATTTTTTCAAGAATATAAAAATACATACCTAGGTACCTTTTAGAAGCTAAATTTTTGATGGTTATAGCGTAAAACAAAAATTTATTTTTTAGCGTGGTGTAAGCGTTGTAAAGCGTTGCAACGACCCCGCTTTGATACGTTTTAATCGTGCTAAAATTAACAATAATTGCAAACAATACCTAATGATTTTATACATTAAACTAAATTAAAGATTATTTTTAAAAGTGCCAGGTTACATTTGTGACATTTCCAAAATAAAACCATGCAGTACAGAAAAGCAAATTTGACTAAATTATTAATTTGTTGTAAAAGGGACTAGATAATGATAATGATAATGAAGTGCGTATTTTTGTGATGCGGCGATCTCGAACATTGGTGACTTTAGGCCAGAGCTGGGAAAGTTACTTCTGAAAAGTATCTAGATACTTTAAACAAAATAACTTAGTTACCTCTGGTAACTAGATACTTTGAGTTAAAAGTATCTTTAGTTACAAGATACTTTAAGATACTATCCGAAAGTATCTAAGATACTATATGAAAATATATAAGATACTTTTAAGTTACTAAGATACTTTTAATTAACTAGGATACTTTTGAGTAAATAAGTTACTTTTAAATTTGAATAAAAACTATAAAATTATAAAAATTCAACAAGTTGTAGGTTAGGTAATTACTTTGAATCATTCTGGAATTTCCCCAATGTTCTATAAGAAAGTATCTAAGTTACATTGAAAGGTATCTAAGTTAGTTTAAAAAGTATTTTAATTACTTTAAAAAGTTACTTTACAGTTTATAAGTTACTTGAATGTATCCTAGTTAGTTTACCGAGTAACTTAGATACTTTTTAAGATAGAAGATACAAGATACTTTTCCAAAGTAACTAAGTTAAAGATACTTTCTGTTTAATATAAAAAGTATCTAAGATAAAGTATCTAAGTTACTTTTAATTATCTTTTTTTTCAAGATACTCCCAGCTCTGCTTTACGCTCACGTAAAATATCAGCTTACCGGGATTATGTGTACCAGTGCCCTTTGTATCAAACGGGACATTACTAAATTAAAAATATTACCTTAATTTTTACAAAATTTTGGCTAGCCTCTTAAAACCGTTTACACCAAAAATGAAAATATGGTATATGTTTATAAAATAGAAGATTGAAATATATAGTTGTATAATATAACTAATAATAATTATGTATAAATATTAGACTGGGCCAAAAAAATCAACTATTTTTTTTTGAAAACTATATCGAAAATATGGTTTGGGGCGACAAAAAAAAATTATTGTGAAAGTTTGAGTCCAAAATATTAATATTAAGGGGTCTATCATCGCAATTTTAATTTTTTTTCCCTCATCAAGTTTTTGTCTCAGAACTCCCAAACCATTGAGTTTAACAAAATTTACTTAATTATATTTTTTTAATAAAATTAAATGTTCTACATTAAAGGTAAAATGAAATTTTTCGTCAGATGAACCGTTTCCTTAAAATCATGCCCTAAACATTGGTATAGTTTTATATTTTGATCTTTTAATTTTTACATTGCAATTATAAATTGTTTGATAAAATTTGTTTTTCTTTACAATTAAACCAATTACTGGCTTAGTTACTTTTACCTACGTTGCAACGCGTTGTACAAAATAATTAAGTTTGTTTAGGATGTTTTAACTAGATTTTAGAAAAAAATATGAAATAAAACCATTTTAAAGTAAATACCGAAATTAAATTTTAATTCAAAAGATCGCCAAGTAATTTTAAGTTTAATACCTGTACTAAATAGTTTTCAAACCAAACTTTACCATTTTTTAAATTAAAACTTGATAAGATTAAATATACAAATTTAATATATTTGGTTATTTTCAGAGTGCAGCCTTAGTGGCTGTAACAAACGTATGTGAATACCTGGACGAAACCTCTATAAGAAGAATGATATTGCCGAAGACGAAGGTGATATACGAAAAGAATCAAAATGATATGAGAATCGTGTCGAACGTGTTATCCTGCGTGGAAAGAACTCTGGATAGGCTGGACAAGATTCAAATTATAGACGAGGTGCTACCCTTACTTTACGATATTAAACTCGCTGAGCCGCAAATTATACTAAGAGTCGTCAGTAAGTAAAAAAACTTAGTTAAGGAATATGAAAATAACGTTTAAGCACTAAGCTTAGATAAAATTAAAAAATTTAAAATTTTATTGAAATAAAGTTTTCTTTGCTTTTTTTCAATGCTTGTCTACAAAGTACAGTTTTAAATTTCAGATTTATGATTACTAATAAATCATTTGAAGGTGGTAAAAAACTGAATTATTAATTTTGATATGTAGTTGCATTGCGGTATTTCATTTATAATTAAAATGTTAGATCAGAATTTATGTTTTTTTTTATTTATTAATTTATTGCTATGAAACTTCTGGTATTGGTATTTGGGTCATTCCACGTCAAATTGAACACAATAATGAAAAAAGTTCACCACACCGTCTTTGTTTTTTTTTTTAATTTTAATTAGATTATTTATAAGCTATAATAACCACAAATCTGAATTTTAAAGGTAATAGGATAATTATTTGCCGAGAAATTAATTATTGTAATATTTTAAATTTTTCGTACTCTTTAACCTGTACCAATTATTTGAGTGAAAGTTTGTTTTTAAGGGTAACTTTTTAAGCTTATTTCAAAAATGTTATAAGCATTGCATGAGCATTGCATTTGCACATGTTTTAATTTTTTTTTGTTTTAAAGATTGTATACCTACCACTACTTCTAGAAAAAATTTCATCTTAGCTTAGAAAAAAATTCTTGAATTTATGTGACACATGTCAAAATGATAATTCAGGTGACAAATGTCAAAAAATGACAGGTGACAGGTGTCAAATATATGATATATATGTAAAAATTAGCCATATGAAATGAAAATAAAAAACAAAATAAGCTGACATCTGTCATTTACAATTTATTTACAATTTACGTAGCATTCGTAGACAATAGTTATTTTTGATGTAGGTAAGTGTTAAAAGTTTCATTTTATTTTATGAGAAGAAAAATTGCATAACAAGCTTAGCGAATGATGCAACCCTTCGAACAAAATAAAAACACTTTAACACTTACTTATAAATAAAGTGACCAGATTCTGTCAAAAAATAGGGGGACATTTTGTTTGAATTTAGCTTAATTACAAAATTGACACAATGATACAATGCAAATTGTAAATTTAATGTTTCTTAATTATTGTTGATTGTGTCATTTGTGTAATGTTAATTTACACAAAATGTCCCCCTATTTTTTGACAGAATTTGGTCACTTTACTTATAAATAACTTTTATCTACAAATTTTAAACTAGTTACACTTCGCTTCTGAAGATGCCAACATCGTTGGCGAAAAGTACTTTAAGCACTTTGTGTTTTGTTTTGGTGGAATATTTTTAATATTTGTTATACAAATGCTACGTAAATTGTCAATTATGAGTCATAATTTATGACAGATAAAAGATGTCAGCTTATTTTGTTTCGTTTTTCGTTTAATATGGCTTATTTTGACATCTGCCTTTGCTTCTTTTTGACATCTTTTTTAGAATATTTTTGACATATGTTACCTGTCATATTTGACATGTCATCTATGACGTAAAAAGAAAAGTTTGAAATGAATTGAATCCTGCCTAAAGGTGCTCGGGAAATCGGATACGTCTTCGGTGACGTGTGACGTTCCTAGAGATAGGTGGTCCAGGCGTCTGGGTGGGTGGTGTGCTAATGGTGTCTTCCGGCGCCTCGTCTCCTGGCATTTTGTTTTCAGGTGGGGTCTTGGATAAACTCTGAGGTTGTTCGGGAAGTTCATTTGTTACGATGTATGCCTGTTTCAATCGATCTATGAAGACCATGACTTCTCTGCCGTTGATGGCGATGGCCATGTCGAGAGCCACTAGATAATCTGACTTTCTGGAAGTGCTGTCTCAATTCTTTGACGAAATCGGCTGCATCAGTCCTGCTGTAGGTACACAGAAAAAAATCTATCGTATCATCAAACATAATAACTTTTATTCAATGATACACTCTATTCCGTATTCCTAGAACATAGTTAAATTTTACTCAATAATAGTTATGTCTTTGAAAAAGGAATATACTTTCTGATTATTTTAACAATAGGCAATTATTGAAAACTTGTTAAAGCATTTAATTTTTGTTATGATTGGATGCCAACAATAGTCTGTTATTGGTTTAAACATTAGTTTCCTTGCATGAAAATTAACTTATCTTTATTGAAATATTAATAAATATTGCTGTTATTATATTATAATTATTCTACAACAAATTCATTTATAAAATAAATAGTAGCTATTGTTAAAAGGAAACTAAGGAAAAGATTAAATCGATTAATTTATGTAATTAATTAAATTTTAAGAATTATTTCAATCAACTGTATATTTATATACATATAATTATATTATATATTCTTGATTATTGAAACTATTTTTGATTTGACCTTTCTCTAAATTTTATTTAATTATATTGCTATTATTAGTCAATTAAAGAAAATAGTAGATATTTGCTTCATTAAAAGCTTTTTATTAAATTTAAGTTCAATTATAAATAGCTATATAAATTAATATATAGCTATTTATAATTGAATTAAAGTTTTAAAAAGCTTTTAATGAGGCAAATGCAATTTTCTTCAATTGAATAGTAGCAATATGATTAAATAAACTGTAGAGAAAGGTCGGAAATAAAACAATACTTCTATTAAACTTTTTTATTTTTAGTTTACAACAAAAAATAAATTCTATAAATCTCACTTTTCAAACACTTTTTTAGGAAAACGCCCTCGTTCTCCATTGCATTTATCTTCCCCTTTCCTATTTTTCTCGGCAATCTACGCCAAGGCTCGGCAAAGCGCTCGGCATCCTACGTCATGACGTCTACCAACCTTAAAATGCTTAGTTCCCTGCTTTCCCTAGATTTAAATATTACTTTATTTAAAGTGTATTTTAAGAACGTTTTTAAACAATTTGGATCTTAATAAACTACGGATTGTTTAATAGATCTCCTCACCGCATTTAATGGAAGTCCAAAGTGTATGGTGGCAAATAAGTAATTTCTTTGGGCATTTGGTCTACATACCTATCTGGTTTTCTCCATAAAAAAGGTTTAATTAAACGGCATGCAATAAAGTTAAAGTTTTTTTAAAGTAGTTATAAACGGAAAATCTAAGGGTTTCTCGTTTTATTTTACTACGCCACAATCGCCAGTATTCGGACCCACCTAAACTTAAATCTTACATGCAAACAATTATAGGTGGGTACCTATAGGTATACTCAATAAAATAATCAATAAATGTACTTACCATTAAACACGGGAATGAGATCTTCCAAACCCCAACTTTTCAGCACATATTCCATTATAAAGAAATACTTAAAGCACAAAACGATTGTTAAACAACACGCGTTTGACACTAATGGCTGAAGAACGGCGTCTTCGTTATGCTCCCCTCCCTAATTTTGCGTGTGTTATAAAAACAATACGTTTGGGTCAACAATAACTTTCATTGGATTTATATTATATACAGTTTATTTAAACCCTTTAATATTCGGCTAATAATATATTGTTTGGTTATAATATACATTAGTGTTGAGTCAATGATTCTTCTGATGGTTAGAAAAAAGTTGTTGATTGTATTGATACATTATATTTTAACGGAATAATATGATTATTTGTCTAAAATATACTACTTTTTAAAATAGAAAATTGGAAGCAACAATAAGTATATTTATTATTTAAACAAAGTGTAATATTCATTAAAATATTCTTTTGGTTGAAAACATAATAATATTTTATTAGTTTTCAATGATTGTCTTTTTATTGAATAAACTAAACGTTTTATTTCAAAAAAAACTTAGTTATATTAAAAAGCCAATAATAACTTTATATTTAAGACAATTTTAGATTTAAACTTTCGGCAATTATTTTTAATTAACAAGAACATTCCTGTGCTTGAAACAAAGTGAACGCACCCAAAAATAAGACTGCTATTGACTGTACGATAGAGTTTTTTCTGTGTACGGAGCACAAGGAACTTCCTAGGGAGTCTCATTGCTGCTCCGCATACTAATTCCGCAGCTAAGGCTTCGATATCCTCCTTTTAAGCAGCGCGGATGCCTAGAAGTACCGTCGACAGGACGCGTCCACTGGTGATTCATCCTTCGTCTTGCAGCGGGAAAGCTTTAGGCGTGTGCAAATGTCGATACGTCGCGTCGCACAGAATGGTTAGGTCGACTTAAGGTCGTTCTCCTGGGCCTACAGCCAGCGCAGTAAAATCCAATGGAGTGCTAATCTTCTCGACGCGTGACAGAGTGTCGGCCAGCGATATGTTGGATGTCTGTAGAGAACTGGCTGATGAAGTCTAGGTGTCGAGCTTGTCGCGGAGAACTTTTGCCAGCCTTCTGTAACTGGAATGCAAAAGTGATTGGTTTATAATCGGTGTATGTAGGGAATTGCCTTCCCTGCTTAATAATAATAATAATATTTTATTCAACGGTAAATAACCAATACATTATAAATATATATATACAATTCACATAATATAAACAAAGCAAAACTTAAAACTAGTATACATAAAATTAAAAGTAAATATCACAGATTCTGAATCGACAACTTAAATCTTTTTAAACTACTACAAAAAAGTCAATATCCAATTCATTTGCAAGTCTGCTTGCTCTATCAATTGGTGAAATTGGTAAAATACCCCATAGAGACCTATACAAAATAATCTATCGGGCGCTACCGGATTCAATATGTGCATTTGTCCATGGTTTTTTCCGGATACGGTCCGATAGAAAATGTATAGGAAATTACCTATAGGCACACCATAACTTTTACATTTTCCCTATTGAGGGATATGCCTATAGAGCAACCATAAAACATTTGACAAAATTTTATTAAAACCTATGGGGTCCTATAGGGGAAAAACTAATTTCTACATTTATGTGTATTTTCCCCATTGAAACCGATAGCAAATAAATCAAGGGTGGATATCCCTATAGAACAACCATAAATCTCAACTATGGGTCCTATACAAACCGATACACCCTATAGAAACACCATACATCCCGATACAAATATCTATC